AACCCTGCCCGGCAGGGATGCTGCAGCTGGTACCCTACACCCAGTGACCCTCAGGAGATTGGCATTGCCTGCATCAAAACACCAGTGTGCCTGTACGGGAAGCTGTTGCTCTGCTGTGATCACTTTTCCCTTCGGGATTAGCAGAAATGCTGCTAATGTGATCCTGGACTCGAGTTCACAGCACTCTTCCTGCCCTCCCTGTCGTAGAGCAGCAACAGTCCTGTTGCACGTTCTGAAGCCCTGTCCAAAAATGGTTGGATGTATTTGCTTCTTTGTAAACTCACTACTGCTCAGCAGGAGTCATCCCCCAAAGAGTCTGAGGAGAAAGGGGGATGGTGTATTAAACTTAATTTTCCAGACAAAAAGAAAAAACTCAAAACATTCCTGAGAAAGAAACCTGTCATTCCCTCCCCTCAGAGCCTCCCTCGCAGCTGGAAAACAGTGGGGAGTGACAACTCAAAACACAAAGGTCTGCACTGCACCATTCCTAGAAATAGTTTGTCTGGATTCTCTCTGTTCAAAGTGCAGCTCCCAAAAGAGCAGCGCTGCATTCAGCACTTGGTGGGGCCACAGGTGGCTGTGAGCACAGCTGGACAGATGTTGCAGAGCCGGCGTTCAGGTACCCGTGTAATTATTTCAGAGCCGGGCGGCTGCAGGAAGGTCCCGGTGGGGAGCACAGGTGCTCCCTGGTTGTGCTGCTGCTGCTGCATCGTCCCCTGCACGACTGCCGAGGGTCTGGGAGCCAGCGGTGGGAGCGGGTCTGTCCCCATGCCCTGCGCTGCCCGAGGGTGGCTGTGTGGTTTTCAGAGTGTCTAAAATTCCTGCCCTTCCTGCCGCATGAAGAATCCGTGTCACCGTCCGACAGCCGGCGAGGGGCAGGCTGGCAGAGATTCCTCCGCAGATGCTTTGGCCAGTGGGTGTCTGGCACCGTGTTCCCTTGCAAATACCTACATAATTAAAGCCAGTCGGGGTCGCCCAGGCTGGGTTGCAGCATGGAGGGAGACATAGCAGCTCTGCACAGCCTGTGCCTCTCTTACAACTTTTCTGGGAGCCTTGGTCAGCTCCGGAGATTGACTGCTCGCAGCCTGGATATACCCCAGCTCCTCCAGAATCTGTTCCATGCCAATATTTAATTTATTAGCATTATTTAGTTTTCGTTTATTAGGAGAGTAAATGTGTTTGGCCAGCTTGTTTGTCCAGAAAAAATCCCATTTCCCAGTGTGCAACAAGCAACTAATTACAGAGTCAAGAGAAACACTGATTATTTATTCCGGTTGCACACGCCTGGGTGCTCAGTGGTACTGCACAAATCAAACACACCAACTCTCAAAACTTTTTATGCTTTATACATTCTAGTGTTAAGGAAACTCCCCTGTCTGACCATTCTTGAGTCTCTCTGGCAGTCACACTCCCAGTGCCAGACTTCCACAGCTGGGACCAAAGCCCTTCACAGTGGGTGGCTCCAGGGCTGCAGTTGATGCCTCAAACACTCCACTCATAGTCAGACCAGGTTACCTTGCTGGTTCCACCCCAGGTTTCCCATGAAAGAGTCTCAGACATCTCATTCATTTATTCATGGTGCAGTTACACAGAAACAGTCTGTGGCAATGCCTCCAAAGGAGGGACCCTCAAAAAAGGAACAACGGGGAATTTTATGCCCTCACTGTCTACCCAAGTACAAGTGTAGCTCTTTCTCTCCAGTCAGCTCCTGCCACCCTCTCCGTGTCAATTCACCTTGCTGACATCACCCATCTTCATCTCTTGTTATCCAAATTGTCTGCCTCTGCTGTGTCTCCAGTGTCCACTCACCTGGGCTGGTTTCACTGGGCTTTGTGCTCTTTGTTAATCACAGGGTTGGCCTCTTGTCTCTCTCTGGGCTCACACCCTGCATCTCCAGTTCAGCGTGCAAACACAGCTGCCTGCACCAGATGTATCCCTCAACATTAGCAAACATAAGCATTAATGTTCATGGGCTACAAGGGACTTAGTTCTTTTATTAATTAGTATTCTATCTTCTTTTGCTTAATGATTCTCTCAGTTCTTATGCTAATTAGTCTGCACCCTCAGTCTTCTTCTTCTTTGGACATGGTGGGCCATGAGTCAGTCTGTCATGATTTCTCCCTGCTGGAATTCTTTTTAGCCAGTCAGTCAGTTTCAGCACAGTTGCTGCGTTGGCTTTATTAGTTTCTCCCTTATCTTGGGAGTTCTGCCAAATCTCCTTATGGCCCTAAAATCCTGCATTCTTTGTGTCTACCTACTATCAGTGGTACATCCTTCTTCCCAAGCTTTGTTAATCTCCCCCTAGGTATGAGATCATCGAAGTTTAACAAGGCAATTCTGCCAACAAGTAATTTATCTTTCCAACACCTGGACATAACTTAGGGCTTCTCAGCTGCTATGTGTTTCATGGATTAAATCTCGTTTCTGGTTGATATGGGGTGCAAGCACCTAATTGGGTGGAGTAATTCCACACCTCCCTTGCGTTGCAAACCCATTCCTGCATTCCACCAGCATTTACTGGGTAAAATCCTAACATATGTTCAGACAGATTTCCTATCTCAGACCTCCAGCTTTCTGCTCTCTTGTTTGGTCAACTCCATGGTTACATCTGAACTGGAGGGGGTAGGAGGCTGTTCAGTTTTAATTCCCACACAGACACAGCCCCACCTCAAATGCTGACGTGGTGGAGGTGAAAGTGGGAGTGAAACTCCCATTGTCTCTCTGCTCAGATTTTCAGTGGTATTACAAAAGGGAAGCTTTTCCTGGGCAGTGCAGTTCTTTCTAAACCCCCTTGGACGCATTCCACCAGAATACTTACACAGATTGGCGTTCACAGTCGTGGTGGACATTCAAGCCCACTTCTCACTTCTGTGAGAGTCTATTATTCCACAGACATCACAGCTGTGTGGGGCACCCAACTGCATCTCCCTCCAACACTTTCTGCTTGGAAGAGCCCTTGCAATTAGCTGTAGCAATGCTAATGCCCTGCCCTGTTGTCCTTAGACCTGGCTAAGGACAGAAGTAGGGTAGAAAGAGGCTGAACCCACCAAATACATAAACACATAAAAATGAGTTTTTGTCTCAACAAGAAGGCATCAGTTGACTATTCTGCAGCAGCAGCATTTAAAAATAATTCTGTATTTTTTCAGTTTAATGTCAGTGTTTTTTAATGTTACTGTTAGCAAAAGCACTGCTTATTTTGGTATGACACACCTGCTGAATTCTTCAAGCTGCTACAAAATGAGGTTAAAAACAGACACCTACAGGAAACAGCATATGGCTTATCCCAGCTTTTCCAGCTGCTCCATTAACCTCACTAAAGACTCATCTAGTCAAGTATACAAGAGCACTATCTCCTTGTAAATTCACGTGTAAATAAATAATAAACAACTAAACTAAATAAAAGTTAAGCAACTGATTCTTTCCCACCACTGACTTTAAAATAGAGTTACAGAACTGAATTCCCCCTGGGGAATTTTGTCCTTTACAAATCCAAATCACTGTAGAAAGCCAAGGAGACAAATCCAACATATTGGGAGGCAGGAGATAACAGTAACACCAGTACTGTTGGTGTTTAGTTGCATAAAGATTTTCAGGAGCCAAAGGAATTATTTTGACTTCTGGAATCTTCAAAGACTGGTGGGGACCCACGGCCTAATGGCAGTAGTTTTCTGCAGAATCAAAGAAATGCCTTCTTGAAGACCCGAGGTCAGTTTCTACTCTGAAAATCTCAAAATCAAAATAATTGGAGGGAAAATCACTTGCCAGTTTTGTGGGATGTGGGATGCCCACAGCCCCCAGTGCTGCCCATCAGAGCTGCCAGGTAGCACCTACCACAGCTGAACCCAGGGGGAAGGCACTGGTTACACCCCACACCCCAGAAACTGGTTTACTTTACATGACAATTCTGACAGCTTGCATGCAGCATTTCAAAAGAAAGCAGGTGGAAAAACTCTAAGTTATGACAAGCTTCTTTTGTGATACTACTAAAGGAAAGAAAACATGAGCTGAACATTTCTACTGCAGGTTTCCTGTAGTCTGCAAGGGCAAAAGTCTTGTTAAATATAGAGACAAAATCTACCAAAGGTAACCTGAGTTCTCGATCCCATACAAAGTGTAACAGGAAATCTACTGCAGCAGTGGAGATCTGCAGAATTTAAGTAACTTACTAGGTCAAACAGACACAGTGCCCTTCCAGTCATCACCCTTCTCTTCACCCTTTTCATTTTACTGTTTGAATGCAGAAATGTAACTGAATACATCACAGCTGGATCTTAAATCAATTCACTGCCTTTCAGCACCAAGTCTGTACCCCAGACCTCCCACATACTTGTCTCCCTAGAATCATATCCATGAAGTCAAAAGTGCACAAGCACCTCCCTGTATCTAGGAGACTAGGCCAGGCCTCAGTCCATTTGGGGTACAGACATTAAGTCCTGCAAAAACCACATGTGTCTTCAGTACCTAATATTTACTAAAGGCAAGTTATTTTCTGGTATTTTGAGGTGTTCTAACTTCTTAGTGTATTACTTCCATGATCACTGTTGGTAGGCTAGAGAAGAAACCATTAGAAGTACTATTTCAAGAAGTAACCCAATACATCTGTAGGCAATTATATAAAAATTCAAATCTTAAGCCACAATTCCTGAACACAATACAAGAAACTTGGATATTCTAAAATAAATCACACCAAGAAAGTGGTGTGTTCTACTTCATTTTTATCCTGTCACCCAAGGATTATGTAAATCGTCCTTGATACTCAGTAGTCAGGGATAACATTAATAATTCCCAATGACACCATAACTTTTTTTCATTGAAGAAATTGAAACAGTATGCCGGAAGGAAGTTCATTTATACTTGTCCTGGGTATACTTTAGTTTGGGAAAAACCCACAGTGAATAAGAGTAATTTAGCATATTAGGTATCTATGTCAGCCTTGTAGTTCAAAAATTTGTAATTGTCTATAAATTACAAACATTTAACTTTACTGTAAACTTTATTGAAATAAACGGATGATTTACACAAAAAAACAATGAAAGTGAACTGTTAACACTGTGCATGCCAAAAATATACTCTTGCTGGACTAAGCAAGAGATGAAAAACGATCCACAACAGCATTTTAAACTTACAATAAACCCAAAGGGTTCTGTTGAATTGTGAAGCAATCGATTTGGTAACATATGATCACACTGTTTTCCACAGAAAACAAAATAAGACCTGATCTGACAGACAACAAAACTTGACAAGAGTCTAAATCTGTAGAGACCACCTGCAGATTGCTGACTCTTCCATCACATCCCACAGCAGAGAGGCAGGGAGAGTTTGGACTCTGTGTGTGATCTGCAGACTCTGCATCCAGTCCCGTGCCTGGCTGCTCCCAGGTACTTCCCCTTCTGAGCTGGCTGGTTGGTGTGAAGGGAGAGGGACTTTTGATCTAAACACAATCCATCTGCTGTTCTGGAGATGGGACAGTGCAGAAAGCGGCCCAAGAACCTCTCTTTTCAGTGAGCATAAGGTCAGCCCCATTTTTAGCAGTGATTTGAATACACTGCTGCATAGGACACAGGCAGATACTCCCCTGCTGCAGTTTAGGAGCAACTCCTGCTGCTGAAAAGGGCTACTGAGAAGGCAAACGGATTTCATAAATAATTTTCAATATGAAACTTTTCTCTCTCACCGTTCTTAACACCACCAGTAGAGAGCAGCAGAGTAGGAAGAGGAACATGAATATACAGAAACAGTTCAGCTGCAGCATTCTTTGCAGATGTGTAATAAACTACTTATCCAAAACAATGATGTTGTCAGAATAGTTATGAGTAATGAGTAAGTAAATCCTGGCTTCTATATCAATTTACCAGTTTAACATCAGTTTGCAGACAAAATGGTAAATTGGTGTCAGATGGCATTCCAAAGAATTCAGTTATATTAAGAATTAATAAAGATGAGGAGAAGCCTAGTGACTTGACTGACAACATGTCAGCATTTGCCAGCAAGACCTGCTGCTATTAAGAGATCAGTCTGAAAATGCTGTTCTGTTACAAGACAAAATTGGTTTTAAGTCACTGAAAGTTAACTGGCTAACATAACAGCTAGCATTTGGGTTTTCCCTTGTGTAATTGCTTACTAAAAGCCAAAGACAAAAAATATAACACAAAGAAAAATTCTTGGAGAACTTTAAAAAGTAAAAAGCATCAATATATAACACAAACAGTAATTTAACATCTGTGCTGGAAGTAGTGTCCATAGGACATCAACCCCCCTTTCTGCTTTTTCAGCTTCAGTTTGAGTCAAGGATAAGAAATGTTTGCAGTGGAAGAAAATGAGTCTTCAGCTTTCTTATTCCAGAGTTAAAAAATAAAAACAGTACTAACTCTATCAAACTTTACAGCTTTCATTTAGTTTTGTAAAAAAATATAGTATTTTATATAAACAAAAATATATCACAGGCACTAGCACACACACACCTACAGTTCTGCTTCAGTGATGTTCTCATCAGGGCAACAATAGTATTCCACAAAACAGATCTGTCCATCTTCATTCCTAATCATATACTGCAGTGAAAGAAATCCTTGAGCATCTGTTCGAATGGACACTTTACAAGATAAAGCCAGTGCCTTTGTGGATGGTTTAAGCAAAGAAACCTTGTACCTGCAAGAGAAAAAACAGTAATATGAAAAAACACATTGTGCAAAGAGGAGCTGAAACATTACTTACAAATAAAGACCCAGAATAAACAAAAAACAATTACAAACACGCTTATTTGGTCTTTACTTGGTAACAACATTAAACTGTCATTGCCAGCACTTAGCTTTTTATTACATTCACAGACTTTTATCAGATGGGGAGTATTTTTGCCCCCCATACTAATAAAATAAATGATTCAGTAATGCAAAACCACTTTTTGAACTTCCCATAAATAATGCACAACCTGGCGTAGAGGGCATCAGCCATAGACTTTCTAACCTGTTTGTCTGGGTCTGGTTACAGTGGAATGCTTCCATCAAATCAGAGTCCCTAGGATAGTCTAGATGTGCACTTCCAGCATTTCCAAAAGTGGATAACCTGGAAGACAAAAAACACCATCTCAAAAGAACTGATGAGAGCTTTGTAAAAACTCTTCAAATGAGTCACTGTATGTATCTCAATGACTGTTTCAGAAAACACTACTGTTTGTTTCACTTTATTAAATCAAAAATGCTAAACTGTTTACACCAGTGTCACATTTACCAGGCTGTCAAAATGCTTATTACTAACAGTACATCCTGTGATTTCCTATACTCATTACAATTCTTTCCAAAATGAACCAGTATTCTAAAACTGTTCCCCTCTCTCCACTGTGAAAACTTCCAGTCTTCACCAGAGGAAGCCAAGCATGAACATTTGAGTTTAAAGCTGTTTCTAGTACCTGAAGTAGGGTTTATCTGGAGACATGGTAATCTGCAGAACTTCACTGGTCATATCCAGTTCAGCAAATGCTTCTCGTAGTCCCTCTGACTGCAGGATAATTTTATTAACAACCTTTGTACTGCAGAAATCAAAATCTAACAACTCATCAGGTTCTTGAGTGTTGATTTTGCACACTGTTACTACTCCTCCTTCTTCCAAGAACAGCATCAGGGGATACCCATAACCACGGTAACACATTCTAAGGGCCGTTGATGTTCCTGAAAAAGAGAATGAAATATACATTATGCAGAGACCATATCTAGGACATTTGGCCACTTTAGAAAACTCATATTTTTCTGGCAGAAGAGGCATAGATCAATTTGATTCACCTTGTTTGGTCCAACCTCCAATATGTTACTGAAGCACACTTAGTGCTGCCTCTTAGATACTCTCTGAAAAGCTAATGGTTATGCAGTAAAATTAAATTACTTGTATAGAGACAAGTGAAATCCAAATAGTTTCACCCACTAGACAGGAAACACCAGCTGTGACAATGAAGACATGCTACAAATACTTTAGAGGAATTGGAAAATTCTCATCATCCTCATCATCTTTCCTTACTACTCTTATTACCTGTGCAACCCAAACTGAAGTTAATGCAGCTGAGCTTGTGCTGTGGTCACACCCTCCTGTTGCAAGTTATCAGCACCTGAACCTCAGCTTTCCCAAAATCACAGTGCTTTTAGCACACTCAATTTAAATCTGTAGGTCAGTCACAACCAAAACTGTAGAGGAATGAGGAGTTCAACACAGAGCTGCAAGGGTAGAACTGCCCAGAAAGCTGTCATGGTATCACCCCACTCCACCTGGGTACACATCCTGCAGTGCCCACACAGACTTTCATGGATTCATGGAAAATACACCACACCTGGCAAGGAGCTGGTTCCAAAAATGGTGAGGCAGTCCAGAAGAACAGACAAACTGATCCGGAACATCACCGATTCCTCCTGAACAGAAAATTCCTGAAAAATTTCTGCCTGCAAGTTAAAGCAAAGGGATGACAAGTTGGGAGTTTCTGCAATTATTTCCAGTTTAAACTTCAGAGTTTCCCAAACAGAAATCAGTGCAACACAAAGTAATTTCTACATGCAACACAGTATTGATTATAAAAAAATGTGTCTTCATCCTTAAAACTAGGAAAATACTATCAGGCCACAATTGAAGCAAGGTAGGATGGCATAAACATGAAGTCCTAAACACTTGTCATTTATGTACAAGCTACAAACTAAAGCCTAGACCTGCTCAGTTCTGGAGCTGGAAAAATTCATGGAACTGTAAAATGTGTCACTCTTGTTCAGTAACAATACTTACATTTTTTATGCTCAGAGCATGAATAAACATTCCAAGTACTGAATGTAAGAACAAAACAGTGACTTCACCATTCTGAAATATGTGCTGAATCCTGCCTTTGACTAGCCTGATGGTGGTAAACTGCTCCATGCTATCCTGTTTGTCACTGGCAGTCACTGCTTTGTAGCACCTACAAGAATCAAGTATCTCAGAAATAAAGCAGGGTGTCATGAGCTGTTTTTGGAAAAGTAATGTCATATTTTCTTGGCAGCCCAGAAGGAAAACCCCATCCTGGGGTTTTGAGCACAGCACAACTATCTTCAGTCAGGAGTCTATGAATCTGTACTCTTTCACAGTTGACATAAATCCAACATTTTGGCTTTGGGATGAGCTATAAAAACATTTAGTGAGGAACACAATGAGTGCTTCCTTGTGCAGCTAAGCACAACATGGTCAGAAGGAACCGTGAGTTTGGCAGACACCAATACATTAGATGAGGACACAAACACACTACACTGTTAATGTGCAGGGATGTACTGGGTGCAGGATTTGGAATTCCAGCAGCATGGACACCCATAAACAAGGGCAGCCTCACCATGGCCCTTCCTCCATGTCAGCTCAGGCACCTCTGCCTTGGTTCCAGCAAAGTCTCCCCTTCTCCACAGGTGAGCACATGGAATCATTAGGGTTGGAAGGGACCTCTGGAGATCATCCAGTCCAACCCCTCTGCCAAGGCAGGGTCACCTCAAGCAGGTGACACAGGAACACATCCAGGAAAGGTTTGAATGTCTCCCGAGAGGGAAACTCCACGACCTCCCTGGCATTCTGTTCCAGTGCTCCCTTAGTGTAAAGAAGTTCTTCCTCGTGTTGAGGTGAAACTTCGGTGTTTTAGTTTATGTGAATTGCTCTCCTTCCTGTCATCACTGGTCACCACATAAAGGAGTCTGGCTCCATCTTCTTGGCACCCATCTTTGAGATAAGTATGTGCATTAATGAGATTCTCTCTGTCTGCTGTTCTCCAGACTAAACAGGCCCAGCTCCTGCAGGCTCTCCTTACAACAGAGATGCTCCAGTCCTTTAATCATCTCTGTGGCCTTCGCTGTACCCTGTCCAGTGGCTCCTTGTCCTCCCGGTACTGCGACAGCGGCGGTAACGTGTGGGGGCCCTGTGCAAGGTCTGCAGCAGCCGTGCCCTCCCCTGGCCGATGTCCCCGTACCTGGATGAAGGCGTTGGCCTGGATGCACTTGGCATCCTCCACCGTCACGCGCAGCCCGCTGGCCGTGGCGAGGCAGGTGGCGTGGTCCTGGAAGTGCACGGCCCGCAGGAGGCTGGACAGGTGCCGGGCATTGTCCAGGCTGGCGGACAGCGCGTAGCGCTCGCCGCTGGCGGGCGGCTGCGCCGAGAACGGCATCGCCGGGCAGCGGGAGCGCGGCGGCAGCGGGAGCACAGCAGGCGGAGCGCGGCCCCGGAAAAGTGAACACAGCCAATGCGAGCGCAGGAAGTGAGATCAGACCGCCGCCAGCACAGGAAATCCCACACAGGAAACGTGACACGGGAGGTGGAGCAGGCGAGTGGCGAGCATGGCGTGCGGACGGATGGCGGCCAAGAGGAAGCGTGGAGCGGCGGCCGCGGGGCAGGCGAAGCGCGCCAGGAGCGCCCCGAGCGCGGGCGGCCCGCGGGAGCGCAGCGTTCCGCCGCAGGAAAACAACAGCGTCCCGCCGCAGGAATACAGCATCCCGCCGCCCGTGTCCCAGGTACCGCCGCTCGGCCCGGGGCTCAGGCTGCCGGAGGGAACACGGCTGCTTGGGCGGGACAAAGAGGTTTATTCGTAATCTTTTATAATGGCAGCACTGGTGAAAGTAAACGTGGCGGTGCGTTGTTTCCACGAGAATCGGGGAAAACTGCGGTTCTGGTTGATGTCGATGTGTTTACCTTAGTCTCAGAAGTATTGGAAAGAGTTGGGCAATTCTGTTGTATACAGAGGCCGTATGGAAATTGTGCCTCTTCCTGCATCATACGGAGAAGATTTCGGTAATTGTTTGGTTGTAAAAAAACGTAAAGTACTGCGTGTAAACACAAAGATTTCGCAATATGCTTATCGACAGGAAAAGCTGGGTTGTGCTGTGTCCCGGAGCCCATTTTTTAGGAAAACAGGCAATGCACGTGGCTTTTTAGTACCTCGGTGGGAGTGAAAGGCTGTGCCTGTGAGCACACTGGGGATCAGGATGGGGAAGGTTCCTCCTGTAAAAGCAGTGCCCCCCTGTTCAGTGGGCAAGTCTCCACTGCTGCCGAGAGCATTGGGCTGTCTGGAAAACTTATTTTTTCTGTGTTATAACAGTATGAAGGCCAGAAGCTTCCCATATAACTGTTGTGTCTTTTTTTTAGGGCAAATGGAAAAACAAGGAGCGAGTGCTGATATTCTCCTCTCGTGGAATTAATTTCAGAACAAGACACCTAATGCAGGACTTAAGGACATTGATGCCTCACTCTAAAGCAGGTGGGGGTTGAACATCATTCCTAACTTACACTTTGAGTATTTTTAAGCCAACAGCTCTTAACATCCTGTTCTTTTATTTTTTTCTAATGTGGTACAGAAGAGCTATGATGAAATTGGTGTCTTAAACACTTTTTGAGCCAACAAGTACAGCAATTGTTGTATCATAATATCTTCTGGGAAGTGAATCCTATGGCATCGGTTCTGAACCTGCAGTTTGTTTGTTGCTGTATTTATTCCATAACATGACAGAAACAATGCAATAATTACCGTTTCATTTATAAACTAGTAAAATTAATTTTTGCTAAAAAGGCAAAAAATTATCGTTAGAAGAATCTCATGTATTAAATTGGTTTTCCAGCCTTGTAAATGCTGTTTTTGTCTTCCAGATACTAAAATGGACCGTAAAGATCAGTTATTTGTAATCAATGAGGTAATACAGGATTTATCTTGGCAATTCTTTGTTTTATTTTATTTTCAATGGAATTTCAGTGTGCAAGGGAAAGGGGCAACCAAGTTCAAAGTGTAACTTCTTAGGTGAAAATAATTGGTATCCAAAAAGCAGTCATTTAAACAGAAAATTGACTTTTGATAAATAAAACCAGAATGAAACTTTGAATTAGATACAGATTATCATCATGAAGACATACAGCATAATGTGCTTTACTGTGCAGGTGAGAGGTGTAGTACAGCTTATACTTGAACAATGCAGGACACAAATAGCAGCCAACCCAAATGTAGTAGGACATTGAGAGTTTTGAATCTAGAACCTAATGTCTCAGGTCCTGTAGATTTAATGAAGTTATTACTCCTTGTAGTAAGTACATGAGATTTAAAAAAAAAAAAAAAAAAGCACAAACCAAAATTATCAGTAGATGTCATTTAATAAGACAAGATCTTTGCTTTTGAACTTGCATTTTGGAGAGGGGAAAATATTAGGAATGTGGAAAATTTTCAAAATTGTCTTCGGGATGTTTGTGATCAGCTAATTTGATGTGTCTTGTGTAGGTGTGTGAAATGAAAAACTGCAACAAGTGCATCTTTTTTGAAGCCAAAAAGAAACAGGATCTCTACATGTGGTAAGGAAATGTTATGCTTTGTTACATTTCTGGTTTTAGCTGCAGGTGCTTCAGTTCTAGCTGAATTCTACTGTAATAGTGAAGATGCATGAAATGGTGCTGCTTAGTTAAATTTGTTCTAATATTGCACTTCCATGGATAATGCAAATTTACAATGCATGACAGCTTTTGGAGACTGCAGAAACATTTAACAAAATTATTTAGAAAACAAATGTCTATTAGCATGTTAAAGGAACTCAGTACAGTGACAGAAACTGCTTCAATACCAGAATAACTGTTTGGGGTGTCATGTGGAAATGCAGCATGTCGTCTGGATGCTGTTAACATTTTTCTTTCTCTCTTCCCCATCACCTGTCCTCTGCAGGCTTTCAAACACACCACAGGGACCATCTGCTAAATTCTTGGTGCAGAATGGTAAGCTGGTTGACATTATTGTGTTTGTGTTCTTGCTGTTTTGTCTGAAAAGTTTTCTATAAGTAATAATTTTTGGGTTTTTTTTAAATCACTGTAGTTCACACACTGGCTGAATTGAAGATGACAGGAAATTGCTTAAGGGGTTCAAGACCTCTTTTGTCTTTTGATCCAGTAAGTATAGATTTAATTTCATTTGGGTGTGTTTTTTTCTTTTTTCTTTCTTTTTGCATGACTTACATTTAGTCTTATATATAAACTAACATTTTTAATTTTTGTAGGTATTTGACCGGGAGCCACACTATGCCCTGCTAAAAGAATTGTTTATTCAGGTCAGTCTGTAGTTCTGCTGTCTGGTGTTTCTTCACTGGACATGTTTTTTTTTGTTAAAAATGTTAAAATGTTAAAAATAGCAAGTGTTTTTTTCAAGTAGCAGTTTTACACTTCTGAACTTTGAAAAGATCACAAAGGATTTGTGTCATATTCTCAGCATGACTCAAGACACTTGTTCTTAAGTTTTGGGTAATGAAATATAACCTGGGTTTGAGATCTTAGTAAATTAAAATGAGTTTAAAATAAGCCATTATTTGACCTCTCCAATTGCGGATGTTCAGAAACACTGCCTTTTTTTACAGATATTTAGCACACCATACTACCACCCCAAAAGCCAGCCTTTTGTTGATCATGTTTTCACCTTCACGGTCACTGATGAAAGGATCTGGTTTCGCAATTACCAGGTGAGTGGTCTCTCTTAGCTCTTCAGAAGGAGGTCAGTGGGGTAATTTTTTATCAAGTCCATTAATTAAAATAAGAATAATTTTTTTTTTAATCAGGATATGCCAGACCCTAGTGCTTGCAGATTCAGTGTTCTGAAATGACTTACCTTCTTCCATATCTCTGGAGAGATCTGGTTCACTGAACTTGAGTTGTGATTCTGTGAGGGATGTCTTGGTAGCAGGATATACTACTCAAGGCCTAAACTGTGCCTTAACCTAAATTGCTGCCTTGATCCAAAGTCACCTAAATTGCTGCCTTGATCCAAAGTGATCTAGAGCTTACTTTCTGTAGAAGAAATTCACAAATACATCGTACTCCAAAAGCTTGCTTGAATTTCAAAGAACTACTTTATGTATAGAATTGGGTTTATACAAATCTAGCTGATTGGGTACTGTACCTCAGATTTAAACTCAGCTATGTTAATTACCATGTGCAAGGTGCCTGCAAGGTTATATGCTTTGATTCAATCTGTGAGAAATAGAGAAAGTTTTCTTTTAATTGCAGATAATAGAAGAAGATGCATCTCTAGTAGAAATTGGACCTCGTTTTGTCCTGAACCTTATAAAAATCTTCCAAGGTAGCTTTGGAGGACCAACTCTGTATGAAAATCCTCATTACCAGTCCCCAAATATGGTAAGCAGCTCTTTCATTTTTTCTGTAATTTCTCTTTCATTTAGAAACTAATTTGAAAACCAGCCTTACAGTCAGTCTGTGCATATGCCTTTCCCCATGACCCTTTGTATGCCTAATGGCAGTTTGAGAACAGACTAGTTTTGTAATCATGAAATGAATGCAGGAATCATGTCACTGAAAAGATGACATTACACGTCATTATTACAAGATGAGAGCCTTGACCATTAAGCAGAGAAATTAGCATGTGTTTCTTTAATACCAGATTTCTTCCATCTTGCCTATTTGAAACATGATGAAATTTAAATTCTTACTTTCATAGCATCGAAGGCTGATAAGATTGTCAGTGGCAGCTAAGTTTAGAGAGAAGCAGCAAGTGAAAGAAGTGCAAAAGCTTAAGAAAAAAGGGACTAAGGTCCTTGTTAAAGAAGATCCTACCGAAGTGGTCTTTGAAACACCAGCTGAAGAAAAGCCAGTGGAAATACAGCTTGTGAAACCAGAGTCAAAGCCAATTGTTAAAGATAAGAAGAAGCTACGCAAAATTCAGAGGAAGAAGCAAAAAAAGTTATTCAGAACTGAAGGATCTACATAGGTCTTACAAGGGATGAAACTTCATACAATATTAACTGAATATTGTAAATATTTGAATTTTCATTGTACAGACAAACATGTCTGAACTTCAGTTTTCAAGTAAACAAGACATACATTTCTTTATAAAGATTGAGTTTGCATTCTTCTATTGTCTTCTGGGTTTTGAGAAATAACACGGCATCTCATTCAACCTGGCCTTAAACACTTCAGGGATGGGTCATCCACAGCTGCTCTGGACAACTTCTCTGGAGCTATTTTTTTATTACATACCATTAATCTAGTTCACAGTTCCTGACCTCATGATATGGTTCTTTCACTGACTAGTCTGTCTCTGTGTGCACTCACCCAAACTTGTGTTTCAAAGTCTTGCTCATGCCCTTTTTCTATGTGATTCCTCTGTTTCAATTTCCAGCATAATGCTGAAAGGACACAGCTGGCTCAAGAGGAAGCTGA